CCTGATGTTACCGCAGAGATTCTCGAGTTCGTCCTCCTTGGTGACCAGCCCTTGCTGTGACCCGGACACCAGCGTCACTCCCACGAGGGCGAAGTAAGGGGCCGATTCCCCGAACACCAGTCGCTTGGTAGCCCTCCGGCGCGCCTCCGCCCACAGGGGAGCCGAGACCTTCCTGACGAAGCCCTGCACAAGCCGGGTCGTCACGGGGCGCAGGCGACTGACCACACCGCTCGCGGCGAGGGAGGAGCTGCTCCCTACACTAGCACCATTTTGACTTCCGACGAACTCCGCCACCGGGACACCTACCCCTCCACCCCCTTCACTCTGCCACTGGAGGGGGAGGAAAAAGCATGACAGCACGGATACATTGGTCACTGAAGGAATGCTGAGGAAATACGGTGGGAGGGGAGGGGAGGGGAGAAAAGGGGAGGGAGAAAAGGGAAGAGGAGAAAAGGGATGAGAAATTATATGAGAGAAGAGGAAAATGAGATATGAGAGAAGAGGAAAAAGGAGGAGATACGAGGAGAAAAGTAGAGAGACGGGGAGAAAAAAAGAAAGAAAAGGAGAAAAGAGCAGAGAGGAGAGAGGAAAAGGGGAGGAGAGGGGGAGAGAGGAGAGAGGAAAGGGGGAAGGAGAGAGGAAAGGGGGAAGGAGAGAGGAAAGGGGGAAGGAGAGAGGAAAGGGGGAAGGAGAGAGGAAAGGGGGAGGAGAGAGGAAAGGGGGGAGGAGAGAGGAAAGGGGGAGGAGAGAGGAAAGGGGGGAGGAGAGAGGAAAGGGGGGAGGAGAGAGGAGATGGGGAGGAGAGAGGAGATGGGGAGGAGAGAGGAGATGGGGAGGAGAGAGGAGATGGGAAGGAGAGAGGGAGAGAGAGGGGGGGGGGGGAGAAAGAAAGAAAGAAAGAAAGAAAGAAAGAAAGAAGAAGAGAGGAGAGAGAGAGAGAGAGGATGAGAGGGAGAGAGAGAGGGAGAGAGAGAGGGAGGGAGGGAGGGTGGGAGGGAGGGGGAGAGAGAGAGAGAGGAAGGGAGGGAGGGAGGGAGGGAGGGAGGGAGGGAGAGAGAGAGAGAGAGAGAGAGAGAGGAGAGAGAGAGAGAGAGAGAGAGCGAGATGGAGAGAGAGAGAGAGAGAGAGAGAGAGAGAGAGAGAGAGAGAGAAGGGGAGAGACACAGAGAAGGGGAGAGACACAGAGAAGGGGAGAGACACAGAGAAGGGGAGAGACACAGAGAAGGGGAGAGAGAGAGAGAGAGACAGAGAGAGAGAGAGGGAGAAAAGGAGAGTGGGAGAGGGAGAGAGAGAGAGAGAGAGGGAAGAGGATTTATTGAGGGAGAGAGGGAGAGAGGATTTACTTGTCTGCCAATAGCTCTAAGAAGGCTGATACAATTTGGTTCTCCTAGACAATCCCTTAGTAAACATCTAAAGGTCACTGACTAAGGATGTATTGAAAGGTTGTAATCAATTCTTGATGACTTTATGTTTGGCTCTATATATCTTCATACAGAGACCATATAGCTATAAAGACAACTATCAAATTATCTCTCTTTTTACCACCTACAAACATCTTAAAGTTTCATTGAAACTCACGATATAAATTAACACTCCTAGGAATAATATATTTACTTTCTCAAATCTTCTCAATATTAGAAAAATTACAATCCAATTTTTAGACTTGCGCATTACATACAATACATATTCAGCATACAGTGCTAAAGTAACTGAAGATGAATTATAAAATCCCAATAAGTTTGCAGTGTATTATTAACAACAAATCCTCATCTCTAATGATCAATTCAAAATGGCTTTTGCTTTATATTTCATTACTCCCCACTATCACTGTGGCCTCCTTACCTTTAGCCTTTCATCAAAGGCCAACAACCTCCACTATATTCACATATATTCAGTAGGATAGAGCTTTGACTAGTCCCTTATTTAATGGCAAACCACCATGTTGGTCTATCTAGCTGTAATATATATGCTGAACTTTGCTATCCATTCACCACAGTAATGAAGGCAAGCACTTGGTGTACATTTATAAGCATATAAGGGCTTAACTACCCTTTCCACAATTTTTTATATATATATTTATTTGTGTTGTATTACGTGTTCTTTACACACATTACTTCTTTTTTTCCATCACTGTGAAATCCTTATTTTAAAATTTATCAAAGGACATTACTACAGTATATCTGTCTTTAATATGAATCAGAAGCTGCAGAAGCATTAATGTATGCCCTTCACTGATTTTTTTATGCATTTAATGATATCATTAAAATTTCATGATTATTTCATTAACCCATTGCCACCGGGGAAAATGAACAAAAAATGGGGAGAATGCAATACTCATTTTTTATATTTTTGTGAAATATGTCTGTCCATAGATGGCTCTGCTAGTCCTGATTTCACCTTTCCTTAAATTGGCGGGAAAAAACGTATTCTTACTAGTGCTATAAATATAGATGGTGTTTTTTTACAGCAAATTAGGATAACGTTAAATATTTTCGTAAATTGATGAAAAGGGTGAACGGGCGAGACAGGCAGTACTCGTAATTGGCTCATTGGATACTTAGTACAAGTGTAGCCATCTATGTGTAAAAACAATCGAACAAGTCGACTCACAGTGGGCATGGCATGTACATACATGCCATGCAGCTTTGCCAAAAAGTGACTAAGTGAAATACTCTATCTACATTATTTACAAACTTTCTTTCTCAAAACTCACGTGGCATGAGATAGACAAGTCTGCATAATATTAATATAATTTTCCTTTAGTCCAAAAATATTGTTAAAATCAATTACATCTAGAATCCCTAACTTACTGATAACAAACATGCCTCACATATGCCAATGTTGTAAATACATTAGCATGGAAGCTACAAGAATTACTAACCCCTTATTAAATTATCTAACCAGGCAGTCTTTTTCATTACTATTATGATAATCATTTATAAGTAGACCACATCGAGCTATGCAGTGGCCTCCACATACTTTATGATTTGGCAAAGTTCAACAAACTTTAACATTAATAATCTGGCAACGGAATTTGGACTAGTTCCATATTTGAGGATACATTGTCAGGAAGTTCTATAATCTGTGAATATAGGTGATGGAGGTAGCTATGCTCAAAGTGAAGATGCCACAGCTTCACCTGATGCTTAGCACCACGGACATTGAAAAACAAGTCGTGGTTTACTTCAACACAAAATTTAATATAGGTGCAGATTATAATTCTTATGTGTTCCTAGCTTAATTGCAAATATTAAAACCATCCAGTATGAAAAAATAATATAGTAGCTACTATACAATTAACTTGAAAACTGAAAGGCAAGGCCGGCATAAGTACTTGAGCTGAAGGGACAAAGGATATGAGTATAGTCAAAGAGTCAACTCAAGAGAAGACAGAATATGAAGATGCTGACAATGATAAAGTAATTGTCGAGGACAGGTTATGCATTCCTCATTTGCTATTTGCTTGATGCTCTGGCAAAAGCTAATAATCCAGCTGCATTTATATTCTGACAAGGTAGAGCTTGATTGGGTTTCTTTTATATGATAATTACCAATGAGTGTCATTTTGGTGCATTTACAAGAGAGTAGTCTTCTTTTATATCATTCCACAACCCTAGTTTGGTCAAGTGCCTGATGAAGTAATTCTTTGCTACTAGTGGTAGCAATACTATATAATAGGTGTATATTCACTATACTAGTAATAATGCTAATTAAAAAAAACACAATCATTAATAATATACTATCTACTTTTAATAACTAACACAACAAATGGCTCGAGGACACACCTTGTTCAGCTTGTGGCGAGCGTCAGGGGCGCGGGTCTGCTGACGGGGCACGAGGGTGACCTGCCTCTTTTGGGCGTGCTGGAGGACTCGACGGCCCTGCTCCACAGCACTCTCCACCAGAGCCCTCACGCTCCACATCTTACCCTCAGCCTCAGCCCGCGCCGCCGCCCACAACCGGGGCCCCCCTCCGACACGTAAACCCCACACCCCCACCGCGCCTTACTAATCGAGGTCCTCCTCCACTTCGAAATGACATTACACTCGGGGCCCTGTCGACAGCGGCCGACAGGGCTTGGGACCTACAGCACGGAGATCCCACCTGACGGACACGTTTTAATAGGGGATCCCGATCTATCCCAGGGCTACGAGGGAGCGGACGGATAAGGGTAGAAACTGCGCACCAGACTTGCAAGGAACTGGTGCCTCCGTGCTCGCCGCGACCGCCAGCTGATCCGCCACAGCACGCGAGGCCCCGCCCCTGCTACGGTGCCACGTTCTCTTATCTGCGGCTGGGATTATACGTGTCCTTGGTATTTATCGGCTATTTGAGGGTATGGGTAATTAATAATTCTCATGATTGACTGGGTTGAAGGTATTTTTTTTAGGGCGGGAGGTAATATATTTTGACATAAGTTTTGCTAAGGTGACTCTCACCTGTATGCCAAACAAAACCAATTAGTGAAGTCGTTCGGTAATCCATAACGACTCATGGTATTATTCTAGACAGAGAAGTTACTAAAGTCACATAAAGGAGTAAGTGTTACTTTGTTATTCCCTGCGATACTAATGATCCCATTCTTTAATTGGTCAATCAACATGAATCAAACATGTCAAAGTCGTCATGATTGAGGACCTTTTGCTTTATCTTCAGATGATTCTGATTTTTTTTTTTTTTTTATGTAACAAAAAAAAATGTATTCTGAAAGACACTTTTGTATCTTTCCAATCTCTCCCGTACAATATATAAATCATGAATTTACCGTGGATACATTGTTGCGGAAACTCTAAGGTCACAAAATACCCTATTCCAATCAGGTACGGGCAGCTTTGCCAAAATGACAGTAAGACCGGCATATTGATTATGAGGACATGGGCTGTAAAGCATGCCATATATAGTTTTTTTTTAAATGTCAATTTAGCATCATTTGCCGTATCAGAGTATGTATAGTTTGGGAATATTAAAATAGCTTGTGATGTTTAAATATGATTTTTATCCATATAAACTACACATACACACACACACACACGTGTGTGTGTGTGTGTGTGTGTGTGTGTGTGTGTGTGTGTGTGTGTGTGTGTGTGTGTGTGTGTGTGTGTGTGTGTGTGTGTGTGTGTGAGTGTGTGTAGTAGTAGTACTAGTGATGGGCGATACTCATATTTTTGCAATTGAATACTTCGAGTTGTAAACGATTACAAGTAATCGATTACGCCCAAGAGGTGAAGAAAGTATTGTTTGAATCTCTCTGCAGTTTGCCTCGTGTGACATTTTGCTCTGTCAAAGGAAGGATTTGGAAACTCATTTTCAATAAATTTATTTTGTACAGTTCTATTTATACACACACATGTGTATATATATGTGTGTGTGTGTGTTTATATGTGTGTGTGTGTGTGTGTGTGTGTGTGTGTGTGTGTGTGTGTGTGTGTGTGTGTGTGTGTGTGTGTGTGTGTGTATAGCTAGATATATAGATATATGTATATATATATATATATATATATATATGTGTGTGTGTGTGTGTGTGTGTGTGTGTGTGTGTGTGTGTGTGTGTGCGTGTCTGTGTGTGATTGTGCGTGCATATGTGTGTGTGGTGTATTAGCATAGGTGGGTGTGTGTGTGCTCAATATTATTCTAGTGGGATGAAATGCTTAATATTGATGATATTGATAATAATAATAATAACAGTTATTATTATTATTGTTATTATGGTGTTGATGATGTTTAAATATGATAGCAATAGTTATAATAATAATCTATGTCAAAACTCTTGAGTTGAAGTTGCTTCAGTTTGGTCTAAAATGGGGTAATGACTGAAAACATAAATATTAAAGAATCACACACACACACACATATAGAATATAGAATTTGCAATAACTTTAACTCAACGCGTCAAGAAACAAACCAGTGCCATCACAGGGGGAAACGAACTCCACAGATCATTACAGTGGTGGCAGCAGTGGGATAATGCACCACACGAAACCCTCCAAGGATAATTTATTGAATCGACTTCTGTCACTTCAGTACATCATTTAACAACATCTGCTGACTTCTAAAATCTGCTACAGTCCTTCAGTGTTCCCTGCCGAGCTGACATCCCTCCTCCTTCATCGCACAGTACTTCAACACTTGCTGCAGTTGCACAATCCTGCAGCATCAATCAACAGTGCCCTGCCAGTACCTCAAGTTGAGTTCATTTGTCCTTGCTGCTTACATTTATTCAGGAAATTCCCTGTTCCCTTTAGTCGTTTTCTTGTTAATCTAATTCATTGATGATATATGAATCCACATGATTACAAGAAAATATTTCCTTTGTTGTTTGCATGTGTTCAATGATTATAAGAAAATCATTCCTGTTTCCTAATAATTCTGTATTTTCGCATGCTGCTAGTCACATTTCCCAGAGGGAAATATATTCTATGATCTGTTTACCTACATTTTCATAGGAACATCTGTTGTCCTATGCTCTTGTACATGAATTATACATACTGTTTTCATGGAGAATCATTCCTGCAGTTTGCATTTTATTCTACATTCTTGATTGTCCTTTACTACCTTCAATCTTTCAGATGAATGTTGCAATTAACACTCTATTCTAAATCCTTGACACGTTGCTTCCAGTCATTTCCTAATCGTTTTGAGTTTGTGTTGATATTGTAACTCCCTGAGATATAACATTATATTTTCTGTCACGAAGACATGGTACTGTTGTTCCCTTATGTTGTCCTCAGAGCCAGACGCCCTCTGATAAAGCCCATTGCCGATCTTGACTCTCGGATCACCACATCGCTGCCCTCGCCGCCGATCCCTGATGCGCCAAATCTCGCTCACCCCATTAATGAGCCTATCTGGCGGATGTCCTCGCTCCCGCATAACCTGTCGATGCCGGTCTGTCTTCTACTGTACGTCGCTGCAACTCCGATCGTGTCATGCTTTTGATATCACCGCCGCCTGACGTCCTCGCCACCTCTCGTCTCCCTCACCACACTTGTTTCCCTGTGCTGGTGACCCTGTCGAACCTCATGCTGTTCTTCCTCTCACGAGATGACGAATCCTTATCGCTGATGATGAGATCTACGAGGACCTCGTTCAGAGGATTCTCAGCTCAATCCTCATCTCCTCACAACAACTTGGTCTCCCATAATCTTCGAGACCGGTGTGCATGTCATTTACACCTGACACGGCGCTTGACAAGTTAATTATGTCTTCCAGCGATCCTGTGGAACGATTGACGAGCTCTGTGGGGAGTCACCTGTGCGACCTTTTCATCTGCAAGGACCGAGACTCCTTGCATTACCGCCGTCGAGACTTCTTTAGCATCACTCACCGCAGCTGGATCGAGGACAATCCTGGGTAGGTGGCTGAGCACTTTATTGACCTCTGCCCACTACTCACCTTCACTTCGCATGGTACACAGCACTCTATTGGTTATCGCCTGTGCCCACTTAGACCTGCAACCAGAACGGAACACCATAACAAAGTGCGTCCAGAGCAAGCAATTCCAACCCTTACCATCACTCTCGCCGGTCACTTTATAACTAGGTATACTTGTATCTTGAATATACTCAAAATATTTGTTAGAAAATGCTCATTCTGATTCACTGTTTTAATCATTATTATTGTCGATACTGTATTTCTCAATTGTACATGAATTAATTGTTCCAACATACCCAATATCCCATTCCAAACAAGTGACCACAGGAACCTATGAATGCCATAAAATAGAGAGTCTACATTAATACTCCTATTGAAGATTAATGGTTTTCATTCTCAAAGACGACCTGTGATTACCTCAAAAACCCAGACGCCGAAGTCACTCTGGCCTTAGTATCGGCTCGGTCAACACCTCTAGCTCACACAGTCCAAGTTCTATGTAAGTACTTATATAGACCTTGACACAGACCGCTCGTCCTCACGGGCATAACAAGACGCTCCTCCCTGGACGTCTCTGCCAAGCCTGTCCTCTGTACTCTAGCTACCACACTCCTTTTATAACAAAGTATAGAATCTGCGACAATTTTAACTTAATACGTCATGAAACAAACCAGTGCCATCACAGAGGGACAAGAACTCCACATCATTACAGGGGGAAGAAGGGAATGAGAGGGAGAAAGGGAGGGGAGTAAAAGATAACAATAATGTTAATAACGGTAAAAACTATATTGATGATATTGCTGATAATTATAATGACAATGATAATGACAATACTAATCTATAATAATGCATTAATTATTTTCTTAAGCAGCAATACATTAAACATTTAAGCCCATCATACATATAGTGATAGTATTCTAAATCAAATCGTGTCCTCTTATTAGGACTTTCAGACATTATATTGTTTCTTCTTCCTTAGCAGAAATAAGAAGCTCAGCAGATAAACCAGAAATGTCTGAAAGCTTTGTGTGTGTGTGTATGTGTGTGTGTGCACGTGCACATGTGTGCGAGTTCAAGCTGTGAAGAGAGATATGGGAAGTGTAATGTAAAGTGTAATATGAATGCGAACAACTGTTTTATTTGCTCTTCATAAGTGCAGTATTTTTTAACAAAAAACATACATTAGTCTAGAAACAGATCAGTGAACAAAAGCTAACTCTGACTGGCATTGTTCCCTCTGTTCTTCCGTTCTCACCGATAAAAAGCATAAGGCACCTGGGAGTAACCAACCAATCCTGACTGTTTGTTGTTGACGGTCACCAAGCCGATGTTCAGTATCCGTTGTTACTTTGTCGAAGCGCATTATTTTTCAGGCCGGGCATGAAAAAAATAAATACTGTTAAATTCTTTCAGCTATCCGGAGAGAGGAAATTATTTCAATGTACAGATAGTCCCCTACTTAAGAACATTCTACTTATGAACATTCCATACATACAAACAAAAAAATTTAAGTACTAAAGTCCAAAAAATTGTTTGAAAGATGCTAGCAAACTTCAAATTTCCCGGCCGCGAATATAGTTTAAGAGTCTGGTACTGTATAAGATATGTCGTACTTATTGGGATTTATTTACAGGCATTCTTAATGTAAACAAAACTTTAAAACAATGGGAAAAAAGGTAATGGAGACCCGACTTTCTACATACAAAAAAAAATCAATTTACAAACAGCCTCTCGGTCCCCATTATGTTCTTTAGTTGGGGACTTACTGTACTTCAATTATCTGACGAGCAACAATATCTTTGGTTATGATTTGTAGAAAACGTACACATTGTACATAAGTTACAGTCAAACTATAGTATCAATCATTTCGTGAAAGG